ACTTTTCCTGAAGCCACACACAGTAGACATGTAGCTGATCAAACGTTTTTCTCAAACTTTTTGTATGTAAAAGTAGTTCACCTGCCACACTCAACACCATTTAGAATGATTAAACAGTGATTACGTATTAGTATTTTTTAAAATATATTTTTATTGATTTCAGAGAGGAAGGGAGAGGGGGAGAGAGACAGAAACATCAGTGATGAGAGAGAATCATGGATCAGCTGCCTCCTGAATGCCCCACACGGGAGATCGAGCCCGCACCCCGGAAATGTGGCCCGACCGGGAATCGAACCGTGACCACTTGGTTCATAGATCAACACACACCCACTGAGCCAGGCCGGCCAGGCTTACTGTTCTTTTCATGTACAATTAATATGGCAGGACTGGATCTTCAACTTCTAGTCCTGCCCATCCCCCATTCTTTTTTTTAAATATATTTTTATTGATTACAGAGAGGAAGGGAGAGAGAGAGAGAAAGAGAGAGAGAGAGAAACATCAATGATAAGAGAGAATCATTGATTGGCTGCCTCCTGCACGCCCCCTACTGGGAATCGAGCCTGCAACCCGGGCATGTGCCCTTGTCCGGAATTGAACCTGGGACCCTTCAGTCTATAGGCCGACGCTCTAACCACTGAGCCAAACTGGCTAGGGCCCAGGCCCCATTCTTCAGAATGCATGCACCCTACACACGCCTTGTTGATGAACTTCATTCTCCGTAACGCACTGTTTGTCCTGACTTATTGCCAGGTCGAGACGTTTTCCGCTGGCCCCAGCTGTGTGGACGGGGCCACACGCCCCCTGACCCACCACGGCTCTTGCGTGCATATTCCAGTGCTGCTTCTGTGCGAGAGCCCCGCCGAGCCGCCGCGCGCTCAGCGCCGGCCCCGCGCTGCGCGAGGAGTGCCCCGCAGACATGGTGAAGATGACCAAGTCCAAAACCTTCCAAGCTTATCTGCCAAACTGCCACCCGCACGTACCAGCTGTGTCCACTGCAGAGCCCCACCTGGCCAATCCCGACGAGCTCATTCTCCAAGGCAAGTGCTGTTGTCCCGGCGCGGGGGTGAGGCTCCTGAGCCCAGGACCACCCTCACAGGTCATGACCCCGTGGTTTTTGCCGATCTGACAAAAAATAGAAATAATTTTGATTCATTCACACTAGACAGCCGTGGTGTTGGCTGTTGTCATTCCTTAATGTGCTGACCCTAAGGAGAAGAGGCCAGTGCCCTGACTGAGCAGCCAGGTACTCGTGCTTTCAGAACGTCGCTGTCTCCCGTTGTTGTTCCGTAGTGCTCGTCGCGGAGAGCAGAACCGAATCCATGCGAGGCCGGAGGCCGTCCTGACAGGGTCACAGCCTCTGGGTCCGTCTGTTTTGTTTTGTTTTTTTATATTTTATTGATTTTTTACAGAGAGGAAGGGAGAGGGATAGAGAGCTAGAAACATTGAGAGAGAAACATCCATCAGCTGCTTCCTGCACACCTCCTACTGGGGATGTGCCCACAACCAAGGTACATGCCCTTGACCGGAATTGAACCTGGGACCCTTCAGTCCACAGGCCGACGCTCTATCCACTGAGCCAAACCAGTCAGGGTGTCTGGGTCCATCTGTGCGCTAACAAGCAACCCCGGCCCAGGGAAGCCCGCCGGTGAGGCAGGTCTGGTTGTCAGAGGCAACCCCGTCGGCAGCCACATCGGGCTGAACGCTGTTTCTGTCAAGTTTTATGTATCATCTGCGGCTACTTTGGTGCCACCACAGAGTGTAAATGGCCCCACAGCCTAAAACATTTATCTGGCTCTAATTTACCGCAGTTTACAGAGCCCAGCTGTAGTCAGACTGTGGACTGTGGCTTTAATTTGAACCACAGATCTGATCACACCTTTGATCCAAATCCTGTGTCAAAAATGAGGATTCAGCCAAAACCGGTTTGGCTCAGTGGATAGAGCGTCGGCCTGCGAACTGAAAAGTCCCAGGTTCGATTCCAGTCAAGGGCATGTGCCTTGGTTGCGGGTACATCCCCAGTAGAAGCTGTGCAGGAGGCAGCTGATCGATGTTTCTCTCTCATCGATGTTTCTAACTCTCTATCCCTCTCCCTTCCTCTCTGTAAAAAATCAATAAAATATATGGGGGGAAAAATGAGGATTCAGTCCCAGCTGGTTTGGCTCAGTGGATAGAGCATTGGCTTGCAGACGGAAGGGTCCCAGGTTTGATTCCAGTCAAGGGCACATGCCTGGGTTGGGGGCTCAGTCCCCAGTGGGGGGTGTGTGGGAGGTAGCTGATCGATGATTCTCTCTCATCATTGATGTTTTATCTCTCCTTCTCCCTTCCTCATAGTATTTTTAAAAAAAACAAGGATTCACAGAATAGGTGAAAATTCGGAAAATCAGTTTAGAAACTTGAAAGCCAGTGGGGATGTGTGAAAAGTTTGTATGATGAATCTTTAATTGGACATAAATAATATTCCTCATTCTAAGAAGCTACTTAAGGGAAGACCCCTTTGTAAGTCTGAAAGCTGTATATTTAAATCAAAACACTGCTAGTCTCAGGCTAGGCTAGGTTTTGCTTCAGTAACAACCCCAAATCTGTGGCTTAAAATTAAGGTTTATTTATTTATTTATTTATTTATTATTTATTTATTTATTTTTTAATCCTCACCTGAGGATATGTTTTCTATTGATTTTAGAGAGGAAGGGAGAGAGAGAGAAACATTGATCGGTTGCCTCCCCTATGCACACGGAGATCGAACCCACAACCTGGGTATGGGAATTGAACCCACCATCTTTTGGTGAATGGGACGCTCCAACCAACTGAGCCACCCAGCCAGGGCTAAAGGAGGGTTTGTTTCTTGCTCAGGTAAGGTGTTCATCATGGGTCGGCCAGGGCTCTGTAATCACACATTAAAGTGATGTGTATGTATAAAGGAGTTCCTACCCCAACTCCATTCCTTAATCACTTAGTAATTTGGTGTGTATTGTTGTCTGTTGTGTGTGTGTGTATGTGTGTGTGTGTGTGTGTGTGTGTGTGTGTTTGGAGGGGGGTTGTTTTTCTGTTTGTTGTGTGTGTCCATGACAACACATTTTCACCTTAAAATAGAGCTCACGACACGTCATTTCACAGCTCTTTCTTCACTTAGCAGTATTTTATGCCCACTTCCCAGCCCACTCATACCGATCTGTTCCTGTCACCCTTTTGAAGTGCATGAGCCCGGGTGTGAAGTGAATTCATTTGCTTGCTCGCTTATTGGTGGGTTTTTCTTTTTTCCTTTTTTTTTTTTTTTTTTTTGCAATTAATTACACACACTGTGATGGTGACCATTCTGGTCACATATCCTTGCGCACTCAAGCTGATCTGTTCTTTACAGTCGGTTCTGAGAGTGGGTTGCTGGCCATTCGGTCTGTGCCTTCCACATCTTGATATGGTCACCTTGTGCTCCAGTCAACCTTCCTCGCGGTATTTTGAATTAGTGCCAAGTGACAGGCAAAGAAACCAAGACAGTGTTCTTGCAGGGGTTTGCTTTTCGCTGATGATTTTTGTGGTCCATCTGTTCTGTTGGGTCATTTGAGCCTGGCACCAGACAGACGAACCTCAAGCTGAGTCTGGGACTGACCTGATCTATCCGGGAGGCACTAACACCCCCTCCCACCTCCTAAATCATCTTAGGATGATCAATATGCTACAAGCTGTTTCTTAGCTTGTAACACTCCTGGGGTGAGCTGTCCTTTCCTCCCGGGGAGGGGCCATCTTGTAACTGTTCATTTCAGTGGAAAAGCATGAAAACGCCCCCTTGCCCCTAATATCTGACAGACGTTTGCCGATCTGACAAAAAATAGAAATAATTTTGATTCATTCACACTAGACAGCCGTGGTGTTGGCTGTTGTCATTCCTTAATGTGCTGACCTAAGGAGAAGAGGCCAGTGCCCTGACTGAGCAGCCAGGTACTCGTGCACGTAATAGCCATACATGGGTGCATCTGAGCAAGTGAGGACCCCTGGCAGCCCCTGTGGGGCTTTTGGAAGCCATGACTCCCCCCCGCCCCCCTGCTTTTGGGAAGATCTTGTCCTGCTCCAGGCCCTGAGCTCAGCCCCTCACGCTCTGCCAGGCCGCCCTTCAGCTCGTGTGCCGACCCGTGACCTGAAACACAGCTCCTCCACTTTCATTCCAAAACTCGAGTCGCATGTCACCTTTGCCTCGTCACAATCACCTTTAACACTTTGCTCTTCTTTCAGTCCTTTCAGGGAAGCCAGGGCCGCGCCTACCTCTTCAATTCTGTGTGAGTATCACGGCCACTCGGCCCGGGGACTGCTGTGCTCGGTGTCAGCTCCCAGGGGTCGCATCTGTGCCATTGAAGCTCTCGGTGCTGGAGTTCAGTGCTCCCCAGTGTCAGAATGACCAGTGTCTCTTACATCATCTTAAAGAATTCTCTCTCGTCTTGAGAGTTTCGGGAAGGCATGCGGCTCTGAGGGATCACTCTGCACACAGGCTGTGGTTTCCTTCCCGTTGGGGGGCGGGGGGTTGAGTTTTGCTACAGCAGCACTGTGCTCACCTCCCAGAGCCTGGCCCGTCCTGGGGAGACAGAAGGTGGTGCCTTCTCCTGAGAGGTGGTGGTGGGCAGGGCTGGGGGAGGCGGGCAGTTACGGAATGCTGCTGCCTGTCTGGTAACCAAGGGGGGGTGCGGGGGAAGGCCCTCAGGGGGCAGGTCTCCAGCCCGGCTCCTCCCTCCTGCAGGGTGAACGTGGGCTGCGGCCCTGCCGAGGAGAGGGTCCTTCTCACCGGCCTGCACGCCGTCGCAGACATCTACTGTGAGAACTGCAAAACCACGCTCGGGTGGAAATACGTGAGTGACCACCTTGCTCTGACATTCCAGAGAACACAGATGCACTACGATAAAGAAAACATCTACAAATGGAAACAAAATTTGCAAATACGTAGATCTCCCCCGGAAGCATAATCCTATCAGAGTTCATTTTTCTTTTAAATATATTTTTATTGATTTCAGAGAGAGAGAGAGAGAAACATCAATGCCTCCTGAGTGCCCCCTACTGGGGATCAAGCCCACAACCTGGGCCTGTGCCCTGACCCGGAATCAAACCATGACCTCCTGGTTCATAGGTCGATGCTCAATGACTGAGCCATGCTGGCCGGGCAAGAGTTCATTTTTTTTTTTTAATATGTTTTATTGATTCTCCACAGAGAGGGAGGGAGAGGAACAGAGAGCCAGAAACATCGATGAGAGAGAAACACCGATCAGCTGCCTCCTGCACACCCCCCACTGGGGATGTGCCCGCAACCCAAGCACATGCCCTTGACTGGAATCGAACCCGGGACCCCTCAGTCCGCAGGCCAACGCTCCATCCACTGAGCCAAACCAGTCAGGGCAAGAGTTCATTTTTAAAATGTTTTTATTGCTTTCAGAGAGAAGGGGAGAGGAAGAGAGAGGTAGAAGCATCAATGATGAGAATGACTGACCGGCTGCCTCCTGCATGCCATTCTGGTTTTCTTCGTCAGGGCACGGCTCTCCCTCCTGGAATTCTCGGTCGTTGCTGGGTCCCACGTCCCCGTCAGATATGAGGAGACACAGTGCCCAGCACAGAGGCGAGCTTAGTGAGGCCTGCACATTCCCCCGTCCTTCCCCCTGCTTGGCCCATTCCATCCCTGACCACCCCGGCCCCCAACAAAGGGCCTTCGCTCCCTGCAGCATCTCTGAACTATGCCCGGGCTCCCAGTGCAGTCACCTGCACTCTCCTCTCACCTGGAGTCCCTGGAAGGAGCATCTCCCTCCTCTTCCTCCTCCCAATTGCCCTGCACGTGGCAGGTGCTCAGTAACAAATCGGAATTCCTGTTTCCCTACAAGTTTAACTGTAACCTGATGCCACAGGCACAGCAGCCCTGCGCTGCCCTCAGTGGGCTTGTCACCGAGACAGACCCCAGCCATGAGCCTTGCAGGGGACGTCTGGGGAGACGTGCTACCATACACTCACTCACTTTCTCTGCTCAGAGTGCAGCGAAGTTGAGAATGAAACAGTCTTTCCTGAAACCTTCTGTTTCTACTTTTTCCCCAAGGAACACGCCTTTGAAAGCAGTCAGAAATATAAGGAAGGGAAATTTATCATTGAGCTTGCCCACATGATCAAAGACAATGGTTGGGAGTAAAGCGAAGGCTTCCTGTTCTCTTCTGAATCCTGTTTTGCGAGAGACTTTATTGGAATGGAAACAGGAGCGTCCTGGATGACTATTTCTTGAACTTGAACCTTGCAAGCCTGCCTCTTCCGGCCGTTCCCATGGGTAAGGCTCCATTTGGTCTATGTCCTCTTCATGTATGTGGTCGTTTCAGAAACGTTCCAGTGACCCTTTTCTAGTGTCTCAAATCCTAGAGGAAGAATTAACCAGCTGACGGCTTATCTGTCTAGTTAATACCTTCTTGAACCTGTGACTTTAAGATGAGGTTTGGCTGCTCTTTCACATTTGACAGGAACGAGCCGAATCTACAGACCACAGGGACAGGGTCACTTTAGAGAGCAGGTTCACCCCTGTCGTTTAGAAGGACAGTGTTATAGCCCACTTTTTTCCGAATTTGCAAAATTACAAATTGGTTATTTCTCTTGCAAATGAGCTGTTAAGTCACAGTGCTCATTTCAGAATATTCCAGAAGCAGTCAAATCTGTACACGGAGGGTGTTTTTCTTAGCCTTGTTCAAAACCAGAAGATACCATTGATAACATTTTAGGTAAGCTAGAAATAGAGAAATGTGTTCAGTGTTCAATGGAACATCCTGTTTATTTAAGCCAATAGCCTCCTTATCTAGGAATCAAGTGAACCAGTTGTTAGCAAAGACTGACCCAGGGCCTGCGGGCGCAGCAGTGCCAGGGCCAGGTCCCGGACCAGGCTCCGGAGGTGGGGCTGACGTGAGGAGGCACTGAGCGCTGGTCCATGGAGTACTAGTTTAACACACTGGACTGAGTAAATCGGACTTCCTTTTCTACTCTGATGTACTTGAAGAAAAATAATTATTTTTGCATATGAAAGAGGCCAGAACTAACAGGATAAACTTTCAAACTTGAGATTTGGTAGATTGTTTTTAATGTTTTCAGAAAAGGTTAAAGTTGCAAGACAGGTTTAAACTTTGTAAATGAGATGTTTGGTTTGCTCAGCGGGTCACCCTGCCTTGCCTGGTTGTCCCATGGGCTGTCCCAGAAGGGCCTGTGCAGTGTCCTAGGTCCCGAGTAGCCGCCACATGTTTAAGTTTTGACCCACCCGTTTCTGCAGGGAGTGGACACTGCACGGGTTTTGGCCAATTTGTAAAGAATTTAGATCAAAAATGTTCCCAAATAAGTTTTCTGTTTCAATGTTCTAACCCGAGTCCAGCCTGTGGGCCAGCCTGCTGCTCCCGGTGTGCGGGGAGGCCTCTGTGTGGTCACCGTGGCGTGAGGCTCACCGGCTCCCGGCGCCAAGGGCAGGAAAAGGCCCCGGGGAGCAGGGAGAGGAGAGCCGTGTGCCCAGGTGCTTCTCAGCCTGTAGGCGAGGTTAGTCCAGTGACAGCGAGCATGAGCCTCTGCCCCGACCCCAGCCTCCCGAGCCCAGAGCTGTGGCCATGCAGGCACGGGGCTCCCTGCCCGGTTCTGGTTCGGCTGCTCACCTGGAGCTTCCCCTTTGGCACCATCTCTGCCTGAGTCTCGAAGCCTTGGAACATGGGGAACGTGGCAGCCGGAGAGCAGGGTGGGTCAGTGCCCAAGGAGCCTCTGCCCCGCATCTTCGGCCGAAGGAAGGTCCTGGTGCCGCTGTGGAAGCCTCTGCATTCGTAGTGCTCCAGCTGGCGCTGCTGCCGAGCTGGTGTCCAGAGATCTAGGCTGACCCGGCCCGGCCGTGTATCCAAGGTAGGGTTCGGCTGTGCAGCCTCGGGCCTCCAGGGCCGTCACTCACTCAGCAGCGAGCAGTGGGAAACCTGAAGACGCTTCGCGCTCGCGCTGGCATGTGAAACCGCAAACACCTGCAGCTCGGCCCTTAGGGGAACCGTGGAGGACTGAGGGAGCCTTCCCTGAGTGAGTACTCGTGGTGACAACCTGGCCGCCATGGACACGCCCTTCTCGTTTTGGTTCCTCTACAAGCCTCTGCTGCACCTGAGGCTCCGGACCAGGGAAGTGGGCGGTGCTGAGCCCCTCCCGCTGGGCCAGGGCAGCGGCTCCTGCGTGTCTCCAGGTCTTTGCTGCAACTGAATCTAAAATTCTCCTGACCGGTTTTTGTATATACTAAACTTCTATTTAAAGCTTTTATATGTTCTGGGCAATTTTACTGCTCCTTCAATTTGAGCACTTTGGTTTTGTATCGTATTTTTGATGGCATCGAAACCTTTTTCTTGGTCTTATGCCTTTTTTTGTTTTTTATATAATTGATACAAATATTCTCACCACTTTTTTGTTGGTCTGCAAAACCCAAGCTCCTTTTGAAACCAAATGAACTGAGCTGGCTTCAGGGAAGGACATCCACGAGCCACAACTACGTGCTGGTATGTTCCACCCTCTCAAATTCCTAAACAGTAAATGTCATCCCGACTTTTAAGTTATTTAAACTATTTTTTCCCTGAGTGGGAGGTGATGCCAGGATTACAAATGCATTTAACTTAAAACTGTGCCGTGTCCTCTGGCTCAGTACATTTGCTTTAGAAACGTGGTTTAGTCTTGTTGCCATTTTATATATACATATATAATATTTTTATACCTTAACACTTATTCTTGATGGCATCTGTCAGATATTAGCAAGGATCAGAAATGGGAATTTTTCAAAAGTCCTTTAATTTACCTGATGACCTCACCAGGTACTTAAAAAATCCAAGTGCTTTTAATTTCTGGAAAACTACATTGTAAGCTCCAAAATAACCTACAGAATGTAAACCTCATTTGTCAAAGGCTCTGGGCCGACCTGGGGGCCGCTCTGTGGGGCTGCAGCCTGGCCTAGCCCGGAGGCCCCCTCGGAGCTGGACTGCCAAGCGCGCACACACAGCCTCCCCCGCCTGTGTCAGTGT